GAGGTTGATGCCTGCGGGGAGGCTGAAGGAGTATATCCCTGAGTTTCGTGCACAAAAAGAAAGAAAAAATGTTTTTTCTCTGCTGAGCAACGCAGTAACTTTCCCCTGGTTTGTTACTGAAACTCTAATGCATGCATGCAGCTGAAAGCACCCCCAGAGCTGCAGTGACACCAGAGAGTTGTACATGTCAGGAGAGAGCCATCAGATGTTGTTTCAAACGCATGCACACGCTGCATCTACAGCAGCAGCAGCAGCAATAGCAGCAGCAGCAACAGCAGCAACAAATACAGCAGCAGCAGACACAGAAGCAGCAACATGGGTCGTACTTGACTGCCCCGTGCAGGCCTTCTCTTCTTCGAGCGGGGGACAGGCCGAGGGCCCCTTGATCTCATCCTCGTTCTGTGCAGCAGCGAGAAACAAGGATTTTTCTTTACTGCTGTTTCTGTTGCTGCTGCTTTTGTTGCTTCTGTTGGTGCTTCTGCTGCTGCTGCTGTCTCAACGAATAGCAGCAGCAGCAGAATCAACAGCAAAAGGGGAAGGCAAAGGCTTTAGCAATGCAGTCTACGGGCTACGCAGACAGCAGCTAGAAACCCTTCTCGGGTCCTGTGGAGGCGCTGCTGTTGCTGTGGCTGCAGGAGCAGCTGCAGCAGCTACAGCAGCAGCAGCCGCATCAACAGCAGCAACACCTCAACAAGAACCGAGAACAGCTGGCAGACTCGCGTGCTGCAGCAGCAGTACCCGAGCTATATCAATGCTGCAATGAAAATCCTTTGTACATTTCGGTTAAAATTCTTTCAGGTTTCATACGACTGCAAACCCTAAACCCTAAACCCTAAACCCTAAACCGTAAACCCTAGAGCACCTTGATATACTAGTAAAAGGATGCATGCATGCAGGGTTTACCAGTATAGTGCGCGTCCGCTTGGATCTGAGAGAAGTGCAGCTGCTGTCGCAGACAGTCCACTCCGTCCAGTCAGAGACCTTGCAGCCACAGGCTGCGAATGACACCCAAAACCCTAAACCCTAAACCCTAAACCCTAAACACTAAACCCTACCCTAAACCCTAAACCCTAAACTCTTATCCCTAGGTCGGATGATAACCACAACCATAGATCATAAACCCTAAACCCTTAACTGTAAACCCTTAAAAGTACATGGGGTGAGCCAAGGCATCAGAAACCACCCGTTGCTGCTAAACCCTCGATCCTAAACCCTAAACCCTAAACCCTAAAACCCAAACCCTAGACATTCAGCTCACTATCGGGCGCTTCAGTACCCAAAAGCTCACACATGTCCACAGGCAGCGTCAGCGTTTCCGCTGCAGCACACANTCGGGCGCTTCAGTACCCAAAAGCTCACACATGTCCACAGGCAGCGTCAGCGTTTCCGCTGCAGCACACAAGACACCAACCCCAGTACTGCCCTAAACCCTAAACCCTAAACCCTAAACGCTTCGATCTCCCTTCTAGAGGAGCAGATGCAGGGACGTTCCCTAAACCCTTAGTGCTTGAAGGTGCACATCCCAGCACACGTCTGTATAAACCCTAAACCCTAAACCCTTAACCCTAAGCCCTAAACCCTAAACCCTAAACCCTAGGGGAAGATGCATGCAGACGCACGCGTTGCTCTGTAAGCCTGAAGCCGGAAAGGAGTTTCTGTTTGCAGCCCCGGGAAGATATCGTTGAGGGTTCTGTATGCTGACGTCAAGGGGTCCCTCAAGCTTTCCGCCAGCGCTGCAGCAGCAGAAACACACGAGTATTATATATATATATATATATATATATATATATATATATATATATATATATATATATATATATATATATATGTTATTATATATATATATATATATATATATATATATATATATATATATATATATATATATATATATATATATATAATGCTGCCTATACTTCGCTTCACTTTCTTCGGCAGTGTATGGTGTTTTAGTTTATTCGTCAGGAGTTGCTTTCATATGCATGCAGATTTCTGGTGGTCTCTATATTAGCTTCGATGTTTTTTTTGTTTATGGGGGGTTAAGAAGGGTTTAGGGGGTAGGGTGTATGCATGTATTTGTAGTATCTGCGGCCGCTCTCGTGTTGCATGTGCTGCTGCTGCTGCTGCTGCTGCTTCTGCTGCTTCTGCTGCTTCTTCTGCTTCTGCTGCTGCTACTACTGGCGCTGCTGCTGCTTCTGCTGCTGCTGGTGCTGATGCTGGTGCTGCTGCTGCAGCAGCAGCAGCAGCAGGTGGTTGCTCACAGTTAAGCAGGCGTTGGGGGTCTCTGCCTACATCTGCATCTGCGCCGTCGATGCTGGTGTCAACCAAAACAAGAAATTGCAGCCGCCAGTATTTCTTGCCGCTGGCCGAGTCGGAGCCCAGAGCGGAGACAGTTATCCTCCATAGACTCAGATCCAGCGCCTGTAGCAACCACAGAAACCCTAAACCCTAAACCCTAAACCCTGAACTTGAAGGTCTGAACCTTCGCTGGCAACCCACCGCAGTCGCAAACCCTAAGCCCTAAAGAAATAAAACAAATGTAGCTACCTTGGCGCAGAAAAGGCAACTATGGTTGGCGTATTCATGTTTAGGGTTTAGGGTTTAGGGTTTAGGGTTTAGGGTTTGTGCCTCTTCTGTCTCTGATTTACCCCAGACCCGCCACAGTCTGCAAATGGTTGGAGCGTCGCTCCTCCTGTCTGCTGCTGCAGCAATATGCTGCTGCTGCACTAGCTTTTTAACATGAGAAAGTTTCTAGGGTTTAGGGTTTAGGGTTTAGGGTTTATGTGAATCTGTGTATGGGTTTTTTTCTTGCCTGGCTGAGGACGTTTCGTATGCTTCTGCTTCTGTCGATGAGTGTTTCTTGACTTAGACTGTTCGCCAGCAGCGATGCTTCTCTCGTTATTACAAAAAGCATGCAAGCCCCGCTGCAGCTCCGCTGCTCGCTGGTCTCGGGGCAGCTCACAAATTCCCCTGGGGCTGCCTGCAGTGGAGGGTGCAGCAGCGCAGAGGGGTTTAGGCTTTTGGTTCCGTTTGCATGCATTTTGCTCTTTATAAGGT